CACTCCCGAGAACCGCATTCTGACCGCTCTCAATTTTTTTCCTGACTGCGATTTTCGGAAGTTGGTGTGGCGATGCCTCTTCTCTCCAAATCGTTGTTTTGGAGATAGGTGTGGCGAGGGATAGGACAGGAAGGAATCAAACCAAGGTATAAGATAGTATGATCAAGTGATGGATGACCAAAACCAAGTGAGATGCCTATAAGCGAAACCGGCTGATGCTGCTGGGATAACTCTTGGTTGAGGGCCTCGCCACACAACTCTCGAAATGTGAAAAAGACAAAAATTTCGCGGGGGCATCTGGCCATGTTATAGCGGCAAGTTCATCCTCATTTTGCACATTTCGAGAGTGGCGTGGCGATGCCCTGAATTGTGAGGTCCCCGGCCTCTTGCAATTGGAAGGGTGATTTTTTTTTTTTTTTTTTTCGGGGGGGGGAAAACAATTGGAAGTTTTGGAATGAATGGTGAATTGAAAAGAAAAAAAATCCCCTTCCCCGCTGCCATGCAAGCCGCTGACATTTGATACCCCGTTTGCTGCTTTTGCCGCTTTCCCAGCTTCGTGCGACTGGCCCAACCATCAAATTTTAACTATTTTGCCATAACAGGCCCTACCGGGATGTTGTCCCACTAGCTCCGTTGAGCTAGGTCAACGTTGGGTTTTCGACGCTGTGTGACTGTACGCGACAACGGAGATGCACGCCCTCGCGATCATCCACCGGTTCGCTCTTTTTTCAATTGTGAATATATTCTATCGCTTTTTTTCTTTCGACAAAATACATCCAAAAATTACGTTTTCTCGAATGCAACGCCCGCTACCCTCGCCACTTTCCATTGAGCTAGCTGTCTCCTTTTTTCGAGACAGCCAGTTCAACGACCGTTGGCGTCCTTTTGGAGATTTTTATTTATTTTTTATGTTATTTTATTACGTTTTGAGAAATTTGTGAAGTCGCGTGTACTTCGCTATTTTCGGTCGACTTTTGAAGGGCCAATTACACGTGAACTACGGGGAATAGGGCAACTCTTCATAGGATAGGAGCGACCCTTCGGAGGATGGGAGCTGCTCGAATTCGTTGTTGTTGTGCGCCTATATCTGTCTCCGTTATTGGGCAGATTCATGGAGACGCGTCTTGTGAATCCATCCACATTCACACATCTTTTAAACATCCATCTCTCTCTCTCTCTCTCTCTCTCTCTCTCTCTCTCTCTCTCTCTCTCTCTCTCTCTCTCTATTGCTCTCTCTCTCTCTCTCTCTCCCTCCCTCCCTCCCTCTCTCTCTCTCTCTCGCAGCACACACAGCCAGCATTCGTTACGGAAGTGGCAGATGGATATGTCCTTTGTTTCTTTGCTCGTCATCGTCTTCGGAGTCTTCGCTGTCTCCAGTCAGACCGCGACACACACACACACACACACACACACACACACACACACACGTTCTCGGATCTCACAGTTTGAGCGGTGAAGGCCGACCGCGTGAGTCTGATGGAAGCAAGTTTCCATTCTCGGTTGTGGACGTCACGTATTCCACTCCAGTTGTGGGGAAAAAAAAAAAAAAGAATGAATTGTATCTTTGGCGGATTTTTTAATGCATTTCTGAATTTTAAATGAATTAAACAAAAACAGTTTCAGCCGTCACACCGTTGAGCTAGGGCGGATTTTTTAATGCATTTCTGAATTTTAAATGAATTAAACAAAAACAGTTTCAGCCGTCACACCGTTGAGCTAGGTCCACTAAACGGTGCATGTGGGACAAGGTCCCGGTTGTGTGAGTAGGCCCTCATGGTATCACCACACCACTCTTGAAATGAGCAGGATGAGAATGAACTTCCCGCTAGAACATGCCCAGATGCATCCGCCACATTTTTGTCTTTTTCACTTTTTTTCTTTTTTTTTTCTTTTTCTTTTTATTATACCACTAGTACCTATGCCGCTTGGAAAATAGCGGGAAACGACGGCCGCCGATCAGATTTATCAATGGCAGTCGTCGTCGGGCCCGACCTCCGAAAATTCAGGCGCTTGGGAAAACTGCCAGTTTTCCCTATTTTCCCACGTGGGAAAGGTACTAGTGGTTTATTGGGGTGATCACAACTGTCTATATTCGTCTCTCAACTTCTGTTTTTGTTTACCTTCCACTACCTACGCCTAAGACTATCTAGAGGGGACCCCTGCAAGCATAGTTTTCCTCTCTTTGTGAAGGGGGATTTCATGTTACCCCTTGGCCCTAATGGTTAGGGTATAGAGTCGGGGCCGCCAGTGGGGGTCTGGCTAACACAAAGACCGAGACGAGTGCTGTGGCGATGCCCTCATGCTATCCAGAATAAGTAAGACTGTGTGGTCATTGAACCCCCCCCCCCCCCCTCGGGAAAAACCAAACAAACAAACTGTGTGGTCAGTATGGCCTCACACCCGCGCCCGCCCACCCAACGGACGCATAGCGCAGACGGGAAGGCGCCACTCAAGAAGGTCCCGAATACAGCCCCTTGCTGCACTACTCTTGAAATGCGCAAAACGAGAGTGAATCTTCCGCTAGAATATGGAAAGATGCACCGCCATGATTTTTGTCTTTTGTGCATGTCGAGAGTAGGCAGCGAGGCCCACAGTTTCGCTGTCAATTCGATGGCAATTCCACAGTGACTTCCAAGCCCACAGTTTCGCTGTCAATTCGATGGCAATTCCACAGTGACTTCCAAGCGTTGATTCCCGCGCAAGCGAAGAACAACACATCGAGCAAACAGCGGACGCCATGGCGAACTGACAAACACTACCGTAGCTCTATGTTGTGGTGCATCTGACCGCATTTACGGACGCACATGGATCCATCAGGTCGCAGTTACGTCCATAAACGAGTACCAAAAGTTGTAGTGCGAGAATGCCCTCGATCTTGCCGAAAGCGGACACCATTGGCGTCATCGCGCAGGGGGGAAGAGTACGTGCATCGCCGCCAGGGTCCCTCGTGAAGGACGAGGGCGCAACACGAGGGCTGCCATTGTAAACTGCCAATCCTGCTGCTGAAACAAGTGGAAAACGCTCTTAGTTGATTCAAATGTTGTTAGGATGGGAAGGAGGACTAGCATGAAGATGGAAAGCTAGGTCCAGAAAGGTCTCCATCGCCATCGCCATCGCCATCGCCATCTTCATCTCAATCCCCGTTATGTAGAACAAGAAACAAGAGGGGACAAGCAGACGGCCTGAATGAAGTGGTGGGTAATCAAGCAAAAGCTCTATCTGTAACCCTTGTCGTATGGTGCAGAGTGTGCTTGAGGAAGGAGGAACCTATATGCCCTAGCGCAGTCATCAAGGTGCTCAAGGAACCCTGGGACAGGTTATTAGAGTGCCGGGTACACACTGGCATGTGGGAGTGGGAAGGGTCCGATTTGTTAAGTATTGTACTTACTTCGGCATGTGGACGGAGTACTGGGTTGTATTCTGTTTTATTGCTCCTTCGCTATTACAATTACAGTCTTCTTCTTCTTCTTCTTACCTTCTTCTTCTTACCTTCTTCTTCTTTTGGGGTAAAAATTGGGTTGCATTCACTCGAGGGCGGGTAGTAGCCTAAACCGTATGTGTTTCACATATATTCACGTAGACTGCTAACATTCTCTCGGCTCAACGAACGCCTTCTTCTTCTTCTTCTTCTTCTTCTTCTTCTTCTTCTTCTTCTTCCTGCTACTTCTTCATCTTCTTTCAGGGAGAAAAGAAAGTCTCGTTTTGCTGCGTGCCTTTGCCTTTAACTCGTCCGCGCGGCGTGCAGTAATGTTTTTGTTCTTTCTTGTTCGTTTATCCATGTAGAGGACAATACTTCACATCCGTACAACTTGACAGAGGACACCGTACTTGGCGGGAAGGGTAACCATTTCGGTCGCGCGCGATTCTCGCCTTGGTTTCATCTTATATCTTATTTTATCTTAGTCTAGTAATTGGCGATTCTGTCGTCGACGGGGAAGAGACGATTTGGAGGGAAAGAGAAAGACGCTTCGCGCCAAGCCGATGGGGACTGCGACCGGAATACCTATAATTATGTAGGCTGGGCTTCGACAGATCTAAGTATTGTTGTCGATTTTTCAGTCGGGAAGAGAGAGAGAGAGAGAGAGAGAGAGAGAGAGAGAGAGAGAGAGAGAGAGAGAGAGAGAGAGAAGAAGAAGAAGAAGAAGAATA